AAACTACTAGGAATACGCTGAACACTAAATTTAACTAAAAAAAAATAAGAAAATTATTAAATAAAGAAAACAGAAAACTAAAGCAGTACGTCACTCTGTGTGGGCATAAGGAATACGCTGAACACTAAATTGATTTTGAGATGAAAAAAAAAAGAAAACTACTAGGAATACGCTGAACACTAAATTTAAATTAGAAAAAAAAAAATCGGTATTGCACACAAGACTTGTTACCTTCGGTGACCTGTGCTTTTCCCCCTTTAAAGTCTAGTCAACTTTGCTCCTGGAGTGGTTGAACCGTGTCCACAAGGAAGCAACCCAACACGTTGTAATAGTAGTACGTTTCTTTTTCCCATATAAGCAAAGCCTGAAGGCGTTCATTGCCCCACTGAAAACCACCGCAAGAACGCACCTTTGAAATCAATTCTTTATTTCTAGCTTCAATTTGAGCTTCTGCACTTCCTGCGGAGGATCCAAGTGAGGGAAATCGTCTCGTTTCGGCTGACTCCTCAGGTATTTAAACCTCATCCATTTCTGGGTTTGTCTTTTTCGCTTGGTAGTATTAAAATATCATTATCCAAAATTCCCCTATGTTGATATTTTATTCTTCCTCAAGACCGTGTCTGCTTCAATTTATCGACTTAACGTGTTCTTAAACCTTAGTTCATTATATGTAAATTATCGATTTGTAAATCAAGCATATTATTTTTCATATTGATTAAATATATATAATTAATTTATTAATTATAAAAAATTTACAACATAAAAAATACATTAAAAATATAAAATTTTTAATTAAATAATTATATAAATATTAAATTAATTTATATGATCTATATCAGAACATTAAATCTATCAACTAGTTTATGAAAATATTCATTGAACTCAAATTTTAGAAGGGCGGGCTAATATACACTTCTCCCTGATTATATATTCCTGTTTTCCAATCATTGTTCTTCCAAATTCTGTGTGTTAGAAACGATGGAAGTTGGAAGTGGCAAGACGAAAGGAAGTGACTGCGAGTATGTTTTTGATATGAGGTCATACGAGGCTGCTTGTAGAGATGAGCCAGACTTGGAAAAATTTGACCGCGTGATTCATGATCGGATCCGCGGGGCCCTCAACACACTGGCCACAGGTGTTGATGTTCAGTCAATCAGAGAGGTTCTTATAGCTCAGTTTGAAATGAACCGGGATGTTGTCAAACTCGTTGTAGACGTTGTAGAGTCCAAGGAGGATATATGTAACAATAAAAAACTGTCATCTTTGGTGAAGGAATACTTAGAGAATAGCACAGAGACATTAGAGTTTTATGGTGTCCTTGAGAATTGCTTGGAACGTGCTCGAAAGAACCAGCTGATTATTCAGCGTGCAGTTCAAAAGTTTGAGGAAGAAGTACAGGATGGGGAAGAAGGAAGGAAATTCGAGGAGATATTGGACGAACTAAACAAATTTAAAGCAGCTGAGAAGCCATTTGGTGTGGAATTCCTTGAACTGTTTCGGTCTGTGATTGAACAGCAGGATTTATTTTTAAGGAAAATGAAAATGAAAAAGACGAAGCTGGATAAGAAATTGAAATGGGTAAAAAGGTGGAGAAAGCTGTCTAATGTCTTGTTTGTTAGTGTGTTTGTATCTGTAGTAGTTTTCTCGGTGGTTGCGGCTGCCATTGCAGCACCACCTGTGATAACAGCTGTAGCAGGTGCCTTGGTAGTGCCTGCTGGTTCAATGGGAAAATGGTGTAACTGGCTTTTGAATCGTTATGAGAAAAAATTGGATTGGGAGAAGGGGTTGTATAGATCAATGCAAACTTACATTACAATTGAGGACATGAAGACTATAGATGTGCTTGTTGAAAAAATGAAAACTGAGATCGAGTTACTTTTGTATCCTGTTGATTTCGTAGTTAGAGAACAAGAGGCAGTGAAGCGAGTTATTGATGAGATAAAAATTAAATTGGAAGTGTACATGAAAACCACTGGGGACTTGGGTAAACGAGCTGATGAGTGTAGAAGTGAAATAAGAAGGGCAAGTACAGTGATTTTGCGGAAGATAAGTGAACCTTCTTCCCAATCGCAACTGTAGAAGCTTGTTATTAAATTTGTAATGCTGGATATGTTATGTCAATTATATGCTGCAAATGAAACAATTGAATTGCTGAGTCGGTCTTTCCTTGTTCTATTATTATTAATCTAATCGGGCTCAGCAATTAGCCCCTTTCTTTATTAGTTATGATTTTCATGAGTTTCGACATCAAGTTCTTCGATCCAGTTGTGTTTTAAATTGCAGAATGCGAATATTTGTCAC